CAGGAAGGGACCGGAGAAAGTTTCCATCCAACAAAAATGTCTGTAAGCTATTAAAGAAGATGTAAGAATTACAGAGGATGCATAAATCTTGTATCTTTATTATCAACATACAAGTTTCATAAGTAAAGGTCATATACCTAGAAAATTGATTACTTTTTCTAAGATGCTAAGGGCAGAGCCTACGGGAATAAAGGGCCAAAGAGACTATATCAGAGATAAGTTTCTTAATCTTTTATTGAAAACAGAAATTATGACCAATTTTCCCAACTTGGAGAGGCATAAATGGGAACAACATGAGCTAACCGCACTGTGAACCAGCCCAAATACCCACCCTTCTGTGTTATTTCTTCAAATTAACTTCTACGTCTTAGAACTCCATCTAACTCAGTAAGTATGAGTAACTCCCTCCCCCATGTTAAGACACACTCATCCATCGGGATCATCAGTTCTAAACGAGGGTATTTTAATTTTTTACAAGATGTTGAGCATAAGCACTAAGAACTGAATTCTCCACACAGCACGCCACACCGCCTAATCCCCCAACCGGGGGCCAAGGCTCACATGACCACCGTAACAAGTTATCTAACCACATGCGGTAGCAGCCTGGTGCAGGTTCCCCGGGTTTCCAGCAGGTGCTCCCCACCCCACAGTGGGGTTGGAAGTACATACTTGTGCATGGCTCCAACGGCTGCTGGGACTGCCCTCAGGGCGTTGCAGGACACGTTCAGCTCCGCCAGGGTCGGGATACTGCAGACTGCAAGTGGGAATTCCCCTAAGTGATTATTGGAAAGGTTAAGACTCTTCAACTTGGTGAACCTATTACAATAAAACAAAGAAAGAAGAGAGACATGTCACAGATACCTAAGATCATGTACGTTTAGCCCAACCTAAGAGATGAGCTAGCTCGACTCCCTCATTGAGCTGAGGAGGAAATGAAGCCCTCAGAGGTTGAGGGAGCAAGCAGTGAACGGGAATGCACATCCTCTGCCTCAAAGGCCAGTTTTACCTAAAACGTGAGCACATATATTAAAAACAGACTTGGCACTCTAAGACAAGGTTTGATGTTTGAGAAGGTGAAATCTTCAGGGCGTTTTCAGCTGTGGCTCAATTCATTGAATTAATGCACACATGCAAGGTCCAGCCAGGGAGGAAAGAGACAGGCAGACCTGAGAAGCTAGCTGGCCCTTCTGGATTCTGCATTGAAATTTCTGCTTTACTGCTCTCAAACCACAAAATGAAATAACAAAAACGTAACCATTTATCAAAATGACACAGTCTCAAAGGAACCAGGACTCTGGCGTTCCAAATTTAAGAACCAATTACCACTGCTCAGTCTCACTACAGCACTGCTTCTGCTGGCCCCGTGCTCTTGCTTGGAAAGCTCTGGTGTTCCACTCAGCCTTTCCTCGCAGGGCCTCTTTCTAGCTCCTCCAACCTTCCTCTCCTTTACTGGCTTCTTTCTTCTTCAGCGCCTCTTCCTCACCAGAAACAGAAGTGGTCCTTACAGATACTCTGTCAGTTTCATTTTCTCAGCATCATCTTCCTTGGAAACCTATTTCCTGCTACATGAACAATTCTCTCACTCCTGTCACACGCCATCTCCTCTTCTGAGTACCCAACATTTGCAGCCCCAAGCTGAATTTCCCATCTTTATCCCAAACCATCACTTCCTCCTGTTCTATTTTTGTTAATGCACTTTTATTTTCTCAGTTGCCCAAGCAACTAAAACAACTAAAGAAAGTGTTTAATTTTTACTTCTCTGTACACTCTTACATTTGGCCCACTGCTGATCTCTACACCATTTCACCATTTCTATTAGATGAAAATCGGTTCAGTGATAGCATGATGCTTATTCTTTTAAGAACTGCCCAAACCTAACACTGGGCAGTATGTGCTCTGCCTAGGACACATACACACATCCTAAAGATAACTCCAATTAAACCCAATTAGCACATTAAAGAAATGATGATGTGATCTACTTGTTAAATTTTACAATAAAAAAAGTAAAGCTTTATTCTAAATAGATAAATAAAAGTTTATTTTAAACAGAGAGTTGACAATGTACCTACTTGACAAGCTGAAGGTATTACCCTGATTTCTTTTAATAACAGCTGTTTTCTTGGTTGGCAGAGTATAGCTCTCATAGTATTTTTAATTGGAAAAAAAAAGAATTACTGCTAAATATGAATGACTCTTTCTTTCTTTTTTTTTTCTTTCTTTCTTTCTTTCTTTTTTTTGAGGGGTTTTTGCCATAGGGCATGTACGCTTGCCAGAAAGAGAGAGACGGAAAGCGAGAAATCACCCCCCAGTGGGGATGGCCACACCGCAATCCTTCTTCTCCATTCTCCTCTCAGGATCTTGGGCATGCACACACACGCTCCCAGAGTGAGTTTAAGCCACCAGGTCCGGGGCTCGAACCAAGGTTGAGTACATGGGAATCCAGCAACATAGCCACTACACCAACTGCTGGTCCCTGAATGACCATTTTTAAATGGTCTGGTTTTGTGTATTATTAAAATTAACTCTGGGGCTAAGCAGAGGCACAGTGGTAGAACATGATGTCTGGTGAAGCTCATTCGCTTGGAACATTCTATATTTGTGTCTGGAGACCTCCCTGAGTATGCCAGGCAGACATGTGCCCATGACTTGGGGTTGGCTTTAGCTAGGGGTGAATCATGGCGTCAAGACCCTCTGAAGGGTATGTAGCACTCTTTATGGAATAAATATATAAACAATTTTCAAAAATTAATTTCATTTTTTTCTTTTGACTTTTTCTCTTTTTAAGAGATATTTTTGCTATAGGGCACGTGCGCTTGCTGAAGAGAGAGCAACAGAGAAACAGAAAGCGAGAAAACACCCCCCGGGAGGATGGCCATGCCACAATCCCTTCTCCTCCATCCCCCTCTCGAGATTTTGGGCACATGCTCCTGGTGAGTTTTAAGCCACCGGGTCCAGGAGAGTCTAGTGATGTAACCATTTTGCCACCTGCTGGTCCCTCTTTTGACTTTTTCTAACGTGCGTGATAGAAAACATAAAATTACTTACATGGCTCACGTTTTATTTTCACTGGAAATGTACTCTCCATACTCAGAGTAGGTGGGACTCTCGATTTCCCTACCCCATAACACCGACTCTGGTTCCGAGCTTGTGCGAGCTCCTTCTGTGGCTCCATCCTCCTACCTGTGTGTGTGCACTCTCAGGCCCTCCCTGCCACACCCACCTGGACGTGTGGGCTGCCACACCACACCCCTCAAGGTGAGCAAGGGGAATGGAGATGGGAAGAGAGAGCTATGGGCCGCTGGCCCAGCTCGGCCCACACTGCCATGCTCAGTGTAGATCCAAGCAACCTGAGGATCTAAACTTGCATCTATGCTCTCGGACTTTATAAATGTGTATTTGACAAGGTAGGAGGAGAGAACATATTTAACAGGTGTTAGCTTGATTATAACTTAAATATTCCAATAAATAGTGAGTGGATCTCCATTTATACTCCTAGACCTATACATTTTAAGACCTGGTTTTGATTTATAACCAGGCTCAAATTCTGGGGCCTTGTCACCATATTCCCCACCCCTGGCATTCCTCCTTGTGTGGCCAATCCCTCATACTCCTCTCGGAGAAGAACGCAGTGTTCTGCAGAGACTTGTTTACCAAATAAAGCATGGATCATTTCGAGAGTCCAAGTTCTTGATCAGAAAATATGGACCGATGTTAAAACTCCTCTAGCCTCCTTAGAGTTCCACTTCTTCATTACAGCTATGGAAAACAGTCAGATTACAGGCACCTGCAGATCCAAAACTTCTTCTGGCAGAAAACAGAAGGAAGGTCTACATAGAATTCACTTCCTTAAAAGGGGTGAAAGAGACACCTAGAGACCCTTCCTCAATATCTCTTCATTTAAAAAGAATGAGGAGGAGAGAGTAAGGGGACAGCGTTCTGTTAGGGAAGTAAAGCCCAGTAACCCCGGTGTGTCCATAAAAAAATAGACTCTTATTTCTACCATGCTAATAGGTAAGCTAGATATATTAGGAAATGTGCACAGAACTAGATTTTAAAATGAAACTAGCTGATGGGAGTTGAGGGGACTCAAAGAAAACAGCACCTGATGAACTACTGGGTCATCAGAAAAGTCAGGACGCATTTCTCTGTTTTCTATGTAAAGATGTACCATGACTTTCCTAACACCCTAATATTTAAGTATCTTTCCTATAAGCTCATATTTGGGTTCTACCATTCATTATATTCACTCAGGCTACAGATATTTCCTCCTAGAAGTTCAATACAGGCTAAGTACAAGAAAATCAGAGAATCACACAATTTTTTTTTAAGGTTTTTGCCATAGGGTGTGTGTACTTGCTGAAGAGAGACAGAGAGAAACAGAGAGAAGGAAAGTGAGAAATCACTCCTCAGGAAAATGGCCACATCACAATCCCTTCTCGTCCTGAGATTTTGGGCACGCACACATGTGCCCAACATGATTTTTTCAAGCCACGTCAGGATGTGAACTGTGATTGGCCGTGTGGGAGTACAATGCCTTAACTGCCATGCTACCTGCTGGCTCCAGAGCATCACAGAATTTAAGATTAGTAGTAGAAACATTTCATGATAATTATTAATAATTACAGTGGTCAGTTTGGTATTAACAAAGGATGATTCTATTTGATGCTTTAGAAAAAAAAAGGATTAGAGACCCAGGGTTTGCAATTTTCCTTAAATAATTATTTAATTAATTATCATTATTATTTTAAAATTTGCTATAGAGCATATGTGCTCGCCAGAGAGAGAAAGAGAGAGAGAGAGAAAGCAAGCTGCCAAGTCCAGGATTCAAACCATGGTCAGCCATGTGGGAGTCCAGCATCTTAACCACCATGCAACCTACTGGCCACAAGGTTTGATTTTTAAAAAAACATTTCTGACACATATATATATATACACACACATATATACACATACATACACAGTGCTAAGGGTACAGAAATTACCTAAAGTGGATGCTATGGTCAGAATGCTTTGTTCCTACAAAATACTTATGTTGGGGAACCAGCAGTTAGCGTAATGGCTATGTCGCTGGACTCCCACGTAGGCAACTGCGGTTCGCGTCCCAGACCCAGTGGCTTAGAACTCACACCAGGCGCATGTGCGTGCGTGCCCAAGATCCCGAGAGGAGAATGGATGAGAAGGGATTGCAGCGTGACCATCCCCCTGGGGGGTGATTTCTTGCTTTCTGTCTCTATGTCTCTCTCTGTCTGTCTGGCGAGCACATGTGCCCTATAGCGAAAACCTCTCAAAAAGAAAAAAAAAAATACTTATGTTGAAACTTAATTCCCACTGTGATAACATTAAGAGACAGGGCCTTTAGGAGATGGTTAGATAAATAAGATTAGTGCCCTCGTAAAAGAGGCTGAAGGAAGATGCTCTGCTCCTTCTACCAAGTGAGAACACAGAGAAAACATCATCTTTGAAGCAGATGGTGAACTGTCACCAGACACTAAGTATGCTGACACCTTGCTTAGGCCTCATGCCCTCTGTGAGCAATACATTTCTGGAGTTTACAGATAACTAGTCTAAGGTATTTTGTTGTAGTAGCTAGAATGGACTGAAACACTGCATATGTCTTCCTTATTTTTCAAGAGTTTTCAAAAACAGAGATAAGAAGGAGCCTTTAAAGCCATTTCTTTTACTTTCTCAAGCATGTAGCTAAAGAAATCAGGCTCAGAGAAGTTGTAGGACTGCTGCATTTATAACACGAACTACTGGCTTTCGACGTCATCACTAGTTCTCATCTCTTCTTTTTAAAATGTTGCTAGAAGGAGAGA